TGATTGAGGTGAAATTATAATCAGACAATTGCGGATTGATAGAGAAGGAGAACTTCGACGTTTCGAGCGAAGGCACTTCATCAAGAAGTTAGTCAACTAACGAAGGCTTTTCGCTCGAAACGTCGAGTTCTCCTTGTATTTTTCAGGTAGTTGTATCCCTATCAATCCGCAATTGTCTGATCGACACTACCTACACTGGCGGCACAGAGAGTTCAAAATCATAATGAGACAACTACATATTGCAGTATAGCACAGCCTCAAGGCGAATACACTAACCGCTGTCAATCCAGCTAGATTGTGGCATGCAGTGGGGAGAGATCAAACCTTCATTGGTCATACTAAGACAAGCTATTGCCGGTACCTGTTAAACACAGTAAACTAAAGATGGATAACATCTATCCTCTACTTATATATTTAATGAAAAAATAATAAAGCTCTCAACTAAGAACAATGCGCTATTCAAGATGCTCTGAAACATGATAAAATGAAAGTACAGTTGCTTCTCCTTCTGTTCGTTTTAAGTGTTGTACAATCTTCCCCACTACACGGTAAGCAGTAGTTTCATTTTGTAAATCTTTGTAGTAACTTCTATAGACAATGGACGGTCAAAACAAATCCTGTTTACAGGTTCTTGTAATGCAAACATCGCAGAGATATACTTAGTCAAAATATTCCTTTGAAATTTGATTAACTTCTGGATTTGGCCATATTCATAAAAGGCTTTATTTCGGACTTTGCGATTAACTGGACACAGATTTGACAGTAAACTTAACATGAACATCTTTCTTTATTTTAGGACGAAATCGCGGAAAAGGGACTCGGAAAAAGGCCAATGAAGAAGGTAGGAGAATATATATCAAATGTATTAACAAAGAAAAAAGGACACATTAAATTATTTTTTCTGATAATTTCTGTGCATTTTTAAAGTTCGCAGCATCATCTCCGCCATTGTTGATGCAATTCTTGACGGGGACCGAAAACGAAGATCCGAGGTCGTAGGTAAGAAGAATAAGCATCTTTATTTGAAACTTATTTTTAAACTTTATTTGAGGCTTATTTATTTACGTAATATACTTTTAAGATTTTGACGATGAAAGCCCTCACGATGGAAGTAAAAAAACAGCAAGTTCGAAAAATCTGAAAGGTAATTTATTAAGAGGAGATTTTGCATGTTACGTAACACGCGCTCAAAACTAATGCGTAGAATATACCACTTAAGGTTATGACTAAATTCAAAATTTGTATTTTTCGATACGTTCCTCAATCGGCAAACAAACTTAAAAAGTATGTTTAGTGCTTTGTCTGTAAAATAATGCTAAAATGAAGAGATTTTAGATGATACGCCAAAGAGAAAATTATGTCTGGAGTTCAGTAAGTTTTGCTTATATGGCTGTAAATATGGCGTCAATTTCAAAGCATCATTGATAATTGTATTTTAATTGACAATTTTTAACTACTTTATGTTTCTCAACCGGCAGATGCATTTAAAAAGGTAGCTAACGCTATAAACTAGAGAATAAAGCTAAAGAGGAACGCCATATAAAGCTTGAGAGGAACGCCAAAAAGATTTTAGGGTTTGGACACTTTTCATTGCAAATACGGGATATTGAAAAAAATTGCCTCTTAACTATAGTTTAATCTCAGTGGAGGTTGCGACGATAACAAGAGAGTTTCGGAATGGGAGAGATCCAACTACTTGAACTACTATAGAGAGATCCAACTACTTGAACTACCAGAGAGATCCAACTACTTGAACTACTAGAGAGATCCAACTACTTGAACTACCAGAGAGATCCAACTACTTGAACTACTAGAGAGATCCAACTACTTGAACTACTAGAGAGATCCAACTACTTGAACTACCAGAGAGATCCAACTACTTGAACTACTAGAGAGATCCAACTACTTGAACTACCAGAGAGATCCAACGACGTAGGTCGTTGAACGACCTAAGCTAGCCCTAAGATACCAAGCAAAAAGAACGTCGGTGTCTCGAGCGAAAGACCTTCGTTGGGTACGAAAAGCCTTCGCTCGAGACATCGGAGTTCTGCTTATATTTCTAGGTATACTTGTATCTCATTCACTTTTTTAACTAAAGGCACTGATGCAATGTTGCAAATACAATGCAGCCGCTGGCTGCCTTCATCTTGGGTTGATTCATTACAACAGTAGCCAATACAATCCACAAAATAAAAAAGAATTAAAATTATATTTCACCCTGGTATTTGTTGATTAGCCAACATCATCTGTTGCATGAGAGTGGCGCCCAGCAACAGATCGAACCCAAGTACATGTCATTTAGCGTAACACATTTCTCAACAATTTCTCTAGACAATGAAGCTCAGAGCACCAAAATATTCACAAAACGTGAAGAACGAGAATCTGAAGACAACGGTGTACCACTAGCTGACGTCATTGCTACGAGTGATGTCAACTCTACAGACGATGAAACAGCAATAGTCAAGAAAGATGTCATACAACATGCTGTTGATGGAAAAATTGCGAAAAATGATGCCGCTTTTAAAGCATTTAATTCTGATGAACCAGCTTTTGAAAAATCTGACAAGGGCGACAACAGAGACAATGCAAGAACTTCTGGATT